GAAGGGTAGGGGTAGGGGTAGGAGTGGGGGTAGGGGTAGGGGTATTGCTAGGGGTAGGCGTAGGGGTCCACTAGGAGTTGGGGTAGGGGTAGGGGTATTGCTAGGGGTAGGGGTATTGAGGGCTGGGGGTAGGGGCAGATCTAGGGGTAGGGGTAGGGTAGGGGTAGGTATAGGACTGGGGGTAGGGGTAGGGGTAGGGTTATTGCTAGGGGTAGGGGCATTGAGGGCTAGGGGTAGGGGCAGATCTTGGGGTAGGGGTAGGGGTAGGGGTAGGGTTTGGGTTAGGGGTCAACCACTATGAGACAGAGGGCTAGGGGTAGGGGTAGTGGAGTGGAAGGTAAGTTGTGAGATATTTCATTGAGATTTAAGATGGTTAAAAGGTCAAGGTAGTTGTCATTCGAATAACCGTCAGTAAATACAAACTATGCACATTATTTGATTAAATGAGCTATTATAATGACTAGGGGCTAGGGGAGTATTCGAGTTGTAGGCCTAGTGATTGGTCAAACGCGCGTATGAATACTTGTTGGAGGATGTAAACAAAGATGGCGCGTGCAGGGACATTCGAGTGGATTTTTCTTATTCTTTTGTCGACTTTCGACGCAGTGGGTGCTTTTATATCGTGTTTAGAACTCAAATTATGTTTTTTGAATGGATATTGTAGAAAGCGTTTTAATTGTTAAGTGGTTAATAGTTTTTCTTTCTCAATTTGAAGAGAAATTAACACTTTTGCTGGCGTATTAATATTTTTCCCGATTTTTCTCTATTATTTCGTTGTATTGACCCGGTCTGCTTGGATTTTACCCTGTTTTTAATGCATCAAACAGTGGTCCTACGAGATGAAAGCACTGGTGGGCATGAATAAATAAGACTGACGCATACCATCTGCCATTATCAGAGAGGCTACGATAGCACTTTAGAGGTGTGAAGTTTTGACCACTGCTTGCCGACAGAACTAACAGAACCGACACTTGATCTCCTCCGCTGGGCTCTGGAACCCCACCTCTCTCCTGCCCCCGTCTTAGACAAGTTTGACTGTGTACATGAAATGAGAATTAGAATGCAGTGGTGCCTGGGTAGATGCTCGTTCAAATTTATGTAATGTAAACCTCAGTAGATCTACAGTATTTTATTTATTTAGTGCTTTTGCCAGCCAGACGCCAGGAAAGGGGATGCGCTCCTTGAAGTTATTGCCAAAAGTTGTTGCATCCAAATAACTGACGACAGGCACAGAAGACCTGCCCTTTAAAACCGGCACAACTTACCTGAATTAGCGCAAGTAGTTCTTTATCACAGCAGACAATTTATTTTTTTAATAACAGAGGCGTTTGACCCCTGATTGCCGGCAGAGTGGGAATGAAACCTAGAGGTTACGTCAGGTGTCAATAATTAGAACGAAGAGGTCACAGGTGATTTCGCCTCGTCCTAGGCCTATTTTTCATGCTCAGTGCTCAGGTCTCACTTCTCAGTCAGTACTGCTGAGAGTTCCAGTTTATGCATCGTGTCCAATCATATATCTGGAAAAGTTTTCATTTTTTGGTCAAAATAGCAACAGCAAACTATAAGGACCAATTCTGCTACATTTCAAAACATTACTATCTATTTTCAAAACACTGCAAAACCATTATCGTTCATCAGCGTCACAAAAACTGAATCAATATAGGCCATGGTGCACGAAAAAAAAACGGCCATATTTGAAGACTACTGAATTATCTGGGGACACAAATAGACAGCCGGCGTTGATTTCAATTTTTATGCCCAAACCAGTGCGGTTATCAAACAGACTACGTAGGTTCTCTTGGCCTCGTCTATTGGTTCTCTTATTTGATTTTTGTAATAAAACCATGGCATGTGTTCTTTCGACAAGATCATTCAAAGCAACACTGACTAAGACACCCCTTTCTTTTCTGACTGAAAAAAAGCTCAACGTTTGTTCGCAGTTTATTTTGTATTGGTGTTTGCTTGTTTGTTTATAATTTGGGGTTGTTTTGTTTTGTTTTTTGTTTGTTTATATGTTTTTGTTTGTTTTGTTTTCGTGGGTTTTTTTCTTTTACTCGGGGTGGGGGGTCGGGTTGTTGTTGTTTTTTTCTTTCTAATGCAAGCAAAGAGCGGGGACGGCGTTCACTTTCCAGGGGAGGCGCGAGGGCGGAGACGTTCTTTTTTCGGGGGGGGGGGGGGGGGGGATATTTTACTCTAACGTTCCGAAAATTAAAACACCAAGAAAGAGAACTTCATATTTGTTGGGTAACGGATCTACGTAAAATTATATAAGGGCTTCATGCCCTGAACCTAAAGAAACCTTATATGTTCATCTATTTCTTTCGAGGAAGAGAAAAAAGTTTTAAACTGGAGGCACAGAGCAGACACATTTGGTTTTACAAAAGTTAAAAGTATCCTGCGGGAAGAATTTTGTTTCTGTTTTACTGATGCATCTTAAAATTCATTATAAAAACAGTACATCACAATCCCTACAAACAATATACATGTAGATATCTGTGTAACTGGCAGGCAACAGGATCGTTATCACATCGTCAGTGCAGCCAGGCTCCGACAATTAAGAGCATGCCACACCTGTCATCACCATCTTCACAGTTTGCAAGAAGTGTAAACGTGGGTTGAGAAAAAAAAGAGCTTTGTGAACTGCGAAGAAACGATCCGACTGGCAGAGCTTTTGTGTGTCTTGTTTCTGAAGTTGCGTTAGCACTGTACACGTATTCTGTATCTTAATTGATCTCAAGCAATGTTCTGGAAACTCAACTGATGATGAAGCAAACAATCAGTCAGGAGCGCTAGGCCAAATCATGAAGCTTCAGCACTCTGGTGCAATCAAACGAAGCTCCAATGCAATTCCGTGTTTAGTGTCACGTTCATGTTCTAAATCTTCTTGTGACGGGAGTTGCAAGTGTTGTTCGTAACCTCGGCATCACTGTTAACTCACCGATGAATGACAATGCAGAATTCTTTCGGGAATCTTGATAGTGCGTGAGCATCTGGAGTAGACACTCCATGACTGCGGTTGGGATATATATCTATCGGAGAAACTAGATGGTGGGCAATAGATGCTGCTTTGAGGAAGATTTTCTTTTCAATTAACAATCCAATCGAGGCGCTTTTCATAATAGAAGTTATGACCAGCCAAAACGCAAACTATAATCTGCTGACGACTGCCAACAACCATGGAGCCGGAAAGGCAAACGTGAAAGGACAGTTCAAGTTTGAAACTGATCTTCTCACGTACAAGTAATCTGTAAATATTCTTCCCAGTATACATGTTGACTGTGCATAGAAGAATGGTGGAGTGGTGGCAGGTCCCAAGTGATGATTTTAAAGCTTCTCAAAACGCAGCTAGAAAATCTATTCAATGGGCAAATGATAAGCTATTGGAGAGTGGGTCCGATTTTTTAATCTTTTGGACAGTTTTAATGGAAGGGCCCCTTCCTGTAAAACGACAAATTTCTAGTATAGAATACAGAAGGCACACTCGCATGGATGACCAACTGTCCACCGACGAGGCCACATCAGGTGTACTACTACCGAATTAAGGACGCACTGTGTCATGTGTAGCTTTTTGAACAAGTTTGGCAGGTCTGCAACGGCAAGTTTATTTATTTACTGACCTCTCAATTCTTCACCCAAGAAACTTTGGTGAAATCCCACCGAGGGCTATGGGAAAGCTGCAGAAGTACTTAGTGGGGAAGTTTTTAAAAACTTATTATTTATAAGTAGTTTTACGGCACTCGCAACTGCATAAGGTCATATATGAGCGCCAAGGGGTTGATGTCAACAGAGAAGTCCATACAGGGAATCAGACTTACTCTGCTCACCTCTGTAGCTTCAACAGTACAAAGTCTGCTTCGACTATCAAGGCACCCAGGAAATAGCGGGTCACAAGAGTGACAAACATACAAAAGAAGTAGAGGGAAATGAATGACGATAGTAAGGAAGAGGGGGGAAAAGAAGCAGTTCCCCGTTGCAGTTCAGGCATGACATTGATGAATCCGCCCATTAACAATTCTACTAACCATAAGAATATGTTAATGTTCGTTCTTTAGGAAGGGCCTAAAGACACGAGTCAGTAGCACCGGCCCGGGAGTTAAGTGAGGTTTGATGATGGTGTCAAAGCTGAAGAATATTATTGCAAACAGAAATGAGAAGCCTTGACTTGAAGAAAATGACAAGCATTGAGAAACAATCAGTTGCAGATTCTGAACAGGACTTGAAAACTTTTCCCGAAGTACATTTTTTATACATGTACTACTATACTAGATATCTACCTAATGCATGTTGCAGCCCATGCAAATCCAGTCCCATCTATTGTTACAAGGTGCACCTCAAGCCGGATCTTTTCACTGGTACCTGCGTGCAGAGGCATTCTACAACTACAACTACAACAAGTACATACATTTAGATCTACATATAGTACAAGCTGCTACTAACCCTGCCAGTGTCACATAATATTGTGAACGGTCTTTTTCTGCCTTTCTGAATCTAAAGTCGTCTCTGAGGTACAATGGCACTAAAACATCTGGTCCTCGAGGCTTGAGGCGTTCATGCTAATGTCTTTAGAAAAGGGGGGACTTTGACCAATTTAATGGTAAGTGTTTTACGGCGCCCACAACTGCATAAGGTCATATGAGCGCACGATACATTAAACTTAAACATTTTCAGTTTGGTAGAAATTTTGAATTTTGCCGGGTGGCAGCAGAAGCCCACTCTTATCGATTTTAGAACCACCAAGGGATCTTTAATGTGCGCAAAATGCACACGGGACCTCCGAGGTTTTTTTTGGCCCTTATTCGAGAAAGCCAAGTTTCTTATCATAAGATTAGGGGTGTCGCTGAAAGACATCGGTAAGGAGCCAAGAAGTAGCAGTAGAAACAGAAAGGCTGCAGAAAGAGTCAGGAGCCTGGAGGAGGAGGCAAAGTAGGTGAGAGGGTGGAGGCAGAAAGAGGAGACGAAAGCAAAGGACTGAACGTTATTTGAGAGCAGGAAAGGATGTGAAAGGAGTAAATTTTAGAGAAGAAATCCGTCGCTATCCGGATTCGAACCCGGGACCTACTGAATGAGAGGCCAACACATTAACCTTTAGACCACGAGAGCCCCCGGGTGACATTAGCCGTGTGTAGCCGCGAGCTTGACTAATGGCTTATTGATAACTCAGCAGAACTGTTGACCACCAAAGACTCTGATGTGATTCTGTTTTTCATAATAATATTTGTTATCAGCTTTCGAGAATACATTTATCCAACAACAGCCATTTCAGAGCAAAGAAAAAGAAAGGCAGACATACAGAATAAAGGCAGAGGGAAAGAAAAACACTCCTACCTCTCAGTTATTGGGTTTTTCTTCGTAAGAGTTTTACGGCACTTGCAACACAATAAGGTCATATAAGTGCCGAAGATTAGAGGTGTTACAAGGGAGTAACAAACACAAAAAAGGAGGGGAGATGTTTTTGTTGTTTTCAAATCCCTTTAGCTGCGAGCATTTCGCTCTTGGCAGCGCAATGCCTCCCTCAAGTAACCACATGTCCTTATCTGGTCAACGCCAGAGTAGAGCAGGCTTTGTAAGTCCGTAGGCGTGTGTAGGAGCCTGCAGGAGGGGAGATAAAGACGATAGATGTTCGATAGATAGGAAAGAAGGAGCAAACACACCAGAGCACCTGCCAACCACCCACTACCACTCAGTGGCGCCCTCCAACCACCGCCACAACAATTGGTTATGAGCAGTTTCCAAAATAAGTTTTAGAAGAGGTTTTACAGCGCTAGCAACTGAATAAGGTCATGAATATGAGGGCCAGAAGATTAGTAGAGGCGTTACAAGAGAGTAACAAACAGAAAAAAGAAGGAGGGGAGATAAGGACGATAGATGTTTTATAGGAAAGAAGAAGAAAACCACACCAGAGCACCCGTCAATCACTTACTTCCAAAATAAGACAAATGAACAACTACTAAGTGAACAAAACAACAATCAAAGGCAAAGAGAACACCCAAAAAAAATTTAAAAATTTAAAATCTGTCAGACATTGACATATTATACTCTGATACAATAAAGAAACCATGGCAAACTTTACTTTAGCCAAGGCAATGTTTATTCATACAGCTTAAAACTTTCCACATTTTACATTTAACAGAACCACAGTCACAAACAAGACTGTGGAAGAACAACCGTAAAGAGGACAGACAGAGTGACCCAAAGTTATAATTATTTTTCTTTTTGCTAGCAGAAATTCATAAAGAAATATTTTTGTGTACCCCATCAAGTTTCTTTTGTTCTCATCACCCGTACAACAGTAATGTAAAAAGCATTAAACAGCAAGTGACATTCCTAACTACAGAGATTGTCAAGACACAAGACCTAACTGTCACAACTCTTATAACATTCATCTCAAGGCATCATGAGATGTAGAGCATTCGGTCACACCCAAAAAATGACAAGACAGAATCTTCACTTTTCTAAGAATTTCAATTAGCATGACTTCCATCAGTCTTTTTTTTTTATAGTCTGTAACTGTATTAAGCAAATTCAAAACGGGGGTGGGGGGGGGGGGGGGGGGGGGGGGGGGTGTGAGTGTGTGTGTGTGTGTGGGGGTTTCTTTCCCAAAAGGGACAGGCAAATTGCGCCTTTGAATTTCTGAAATATGCGCTGAGGTGGAAGCTTGTCATTTCAAGAGCACTCTTCGCAAGACCTTTGCAAGGGTCCAAAGATGTAAGCAAATGAGTAAAACACAAAGACAACCCCCCCCCCCCCAAAAAAAAAACACAAAAAAAACAAACATACCAAAGATTCTACCACAAGGGAACAATTAAAATGTACAGACTAGAATGACAAAAACAGTTATCAAAATTAAGACAGAGAGGTAAGCACCCCTCTAAGATCCTCTCCTTCCCACTGACAATATTATACACTAGTACCTGGTTTCATAAAAATAAAACCTGAGATTAAAAAAAAATAATTGATAATTTTACTATGCATACCAGTATACAGCACACACTGTTGACAAAACTCGCAATAAAACTGAAAGAAAGACAGGTAAAGAATAAGAAAAAGTCAGACCATTTCCCCAACCTCCAGAAAGGCACATTCAGATCATCAAACATTTTACAATGTTTGTCTATCCACCAACCACACCAGCGACACAAACTTGTTCAGCACTTTCAAAATAAGCCATTTGCACTCTTGACAATCACCGCAAGATAAAAAAAAAAATAATAAAAGCAAGAGCAGTAGCTTACAAACAATCGCAAGCAGGAGTGAAACACACCAAGGAATAAGAGGCATTATTATATTTCAATTCTTAGTATTGCACAAAGCACATTTCAGCAGCCCGTTCACATTTTTTTTTACAATTATTGTGCCAAACAGCAGAAATTAACAAACAAGTGACAGTCATATTGCCAAATTGGTTTCAAATAATTTCCCTATTGCATACACATTTAGTTATAAATATAAAATGATCCAAAAGTTTCAACAATAAAGGATCTAACTCTGTTTTACTTCCTGTCATCACTGAAGAAAGTTCCAGCAAAGGAAAACAGACTTTTGTCTAGCTGCCCCATTTCAGTTGCACTGAACATTCCAATGAAAACCAACAAGTTTTCAGTCCTAAACACAGACCAATTAATCGCAACCGAAATCTGTAGACTACATACATTTTCCTCAAATGGAGATCCTATCTACCTTTCAAAGTCTTCACCCCCCCCCCCCCTCCCTCTCTTTTCCATGAGCGGCAATTGCAAACATTGCAGAAATTAATACTTAAACATTCCCTCTTTACCGTCCTGCCCACAAATCAAGATGCAGTTTTCCATACCAACCCTTACACCAACTTTTTTTTGTAGTGAACTAAACGAGCAATATTTAAATGGCAACTAGAGGGGACCCTGTAAAGAAAAACAATTGTTCACAAAATTCTCCTTGGACAGGTAGGCCTACAATGTTATCCAGTCAAAGAATTTAAAAAAACAAAACAACAACAAAACAATAAGAAAAGGTTTTAAACCAATCCCAATGGACAAAGAGAAAAGACACCAATATTACTCTTCCCCATAAATGTGAGAATTACATCACCATCCGTCCTACGTCTTTGTTTGAAGGCCCAAGTTAAATTAATATTTTGGCTATTTCAAACCACATGCAGGATTATAGTATATGTATGTACAGGTGTGTGCAGTATATTCTGACATAATGTCTTCAGTAATACTACCAGAATATTTTGGAGAACCAGTTATGATTTTAGTAAGAAAAGACAAACAGTCACAATTTTCTACTTCCAAAAGAGGCACCTGGTATCAAGGGCATGAAGTCTGAATTATTTACAAAAGAATTCATTTTACTGCTGAGCTCATTTTAAGTCTTTTGAGATATTATTTTTAAGTCTATTTGACAATGTGAGTCTGACTACGAGAAGCGCTAAAAATGAAGAAACATTCAAGCAAAAAGAAAAAAAGAGTGAATCAGTGGCTCTGAGATAGCAGACTCCTCCCTATTACAATGGTCCAAAAGATGTGAGCCTCACAGTACGCTGAGTGACCATCTCATGGGTCCTCGGTGACAGAGCAATAGTCATCATTGAATTCATTGTGCAACCAATGCATACTGCATAGCATTAAAACTTGGAACTACAAAAGTTCACACAAGCACCAGTGATTATGCAAACACAAAGAATAATCCACAGTTGTCAGGAACAATTGGCCAAGTAATATATTTAAAAAGTATTAAATTCTACTTATGAAATGTTTGCATGAAATTTCGAACAACATTTAATTTCCACAAAAGTTTGTCTTGAGTTGAGCATTTTAGTAACCGTTATTCCTTTCAGGAGCTAAAACTTGGCACATTTCTAAAACAGGTTACAGACTATAAGTCTAGCTTTGTGATTTCTTACTACAAATTACCAAAGCTAAAAAGGAGTATAAAATATGAAACCCTCTAAAATACACACTTGCTGTTGTGATTTTACTTTAATTAACAAGAGCACCTTTCTTTTCATTTTTCAATTCACTTTTCAATTTTTACCTTATTCACCTGTAAAACATGTGAATCAAGGTAATTTCCAATATCCTATGACTGGTATGAGCACAAATAATTTTTAAAAACTGGTCAATCTTATTTATTTCACAAACAAGGAAAGAATGTGAGACTAAATAAGACAGATTTTATGTACAAATCGGACCTTGGCACAAACACTTCTACGAGATTGAAATTAAGACTGTGGACTAACATTTATATATTTCGAAACAGCAAAGAGGATGACAAAAGTAAACAGTGCATAGTCAGCATTCTTATCTCTTGACATATGGTATTATTTGTACATGGTTAATGACACCTAATGTTTGAAAACATACCTCTCCTTTTCCTTAAGAGAAAAAAATACCTTATAATATCTAAACAATAAAATCAGATAAGAAATAATTCAAGCTTTGTGATCCCTTTCGAGAATAACCTCTAAAAGTAAACACCATGAAATGTAGATAAAACATTTAGAGTGATAAAATATTATATTTTTAGGAGAATGCAACTCTATCTCAACACAGTAACGTGTAACTGTGCAAACAAATTAAATTGCCAAGTCATAAAAACAAAATCCTTAAGGCTCGAAAAAGGAAAAGATAAGACATTAAGAAGTTCTTTTACACTTACCCAAAAATATGAGATATGACTTGGACAATCTCATAACATGTTCACAAAAAGGCATTGACCCAATTACTGATTGTTTATACATTATTACAATAATAAATTAACTTTAAGTTTGTAATTTTGTTTCAGTAGTAACAAAACTCTTTTCATGCATATTCTCATAATGAATCATAAGTGACAAAGACAGTTCTACTTTGGCGCTCCATAAATGGTAATTGAAAACAACAGTGTATTGAAGACTTTTACCGGAGTGACATTACAACAGAGAAATTTCCATTCAAACCGGAAATGTTCCTCTTCGTGTTAACTTACCAACATTTTCAATTTCACAGACAGCGCTTATAAGTAGCAAAATATCCCCGCAAATGTTACTTTTATTATTCTAATTATGAAATCACATCAACTTCATACATAGACACACTCTCTCTCCTCTTTTTCACTTACAACAAATAGTTTCTTATTCAAGGGACAAAAATTGATTCCAGTAAAAGATTTACAATTGTAAAATACGTGTCCACGAGTATCACAACCAGGGGTACACTGAGCAAAGCTTTCATGAGCTCAGTCCACATGCATGGTAAAACATTTTTTTTTTGCTTTTTTTTTCTTACGTCTTTCACAAAAGTGGAAAAACCTAACCTTTGTTGCAATATCAAAATTACAAAAGAAATTTTTCACATCATGTAATTTCCCAAAACTAGACAGCTGTAGAAGGGTTTGGGTTTTTTTACAGGTGGGGTGGGGGGTGGAGTGAATTTTAGTTTGCAACATTTTCAACAGAAAAGGGAGCTGAATTCACAGAAAACACCATCAAGAAACAACTTGGGATAAGTCTAGACCCTCAATAAAAGTAAGCCAAAAACCAAATGCTCAAAACTCATGAGCAGCGAAAAGGCTTTTTACAAGGATGTTTTAAAGTTTGAAATGGGCAGTGTAAACTAAACACTGTGCAGTATTTGAAAACTTTAAGGTCCAAACTTATCAAAAAAAGTCATGAGGGCTACAGAACTTTTCTTAAAAGGTTAGGGTATTGTTGCGTTACTTGAAGAGTTGACTCAACTCGGGACTGATTTTCTGTACACTTCATATACATCAGGTACCTTCCCTTTGCAGCAGATAAAAATATAATGAACTTTTCAGCGACCACCTAAATAACATCTTCAGGATTCTTTTATTTAGCATCAGATCATAATATTTATTCAAAAGTGGTACGAAACAGCTTGCACTCAGATAAAATCATTTCATACAAAGATTTACTGCGGTCTAAACGGTAACAAAATTCTTATTATTTGAAGCCTATCATCTACCAAACGTAAGGACAAAATTCTTGAGTCTACAACAGAAGTGTGTTAAAGACAGACCCGCCAGGCCAGTCGGTGTAGTCACTGCTAATAATCTTTGTATTTATAACTCAATACACTAGTTGTCATTAGATTACATACCTTGACGGTGACTGGCCCTAATTGTTGTTCTAATGTTTGTAAGTGGCCCGCCAATAAAAAAATGTAGTACATTCCCATTTAACACAATACGCAATGTCTGAAGCTGTTACACTACATCACAAAATATCTTGACAAAACAAATACACCCAAGAAAACCTTTTAGCATTTTTCTGGCAAACCTATCAGAATGCTTGAGGTATATTAAGCTAAGGGACACTGACAAAAAGTAAATTGTCAAGTAAATACACATACTAACATAATATTGAACACATATGACGAACACATTTCTTTTCTGAGACACCTAACAAATTATATGATGCTAAAGATTTGTTGTTTTTACCCATGAAGAATTAAAAATTTGCAAGCACCAACCACAACAAGTCATACCAATTTGTTTTGTCTTTGTATGAAGAGAGTCATTTTCCAAAAATTCATTAACGCACCATATTCATAACAGCATTGTATCACTAATACTATTGCTTAAATTGGGAGCTCAAGAGCAACAACTGTAAGATAATGGAGCTAAACAAAACACTAGACATATATAAATCTATCTAGACATGCCACTGTAATGATGATAGTGTAGGATCCCTCAGAAAGCAAGGAAGCTGCATGCTTAAAGAATGAACTTCCTTCAGTTTATGGCCAGCAAAACGAAAAGAGGCAAACTTCCACCTGCTTTATTTAAATAGCACGAGCAAAAGTGAAGTAAACAGGCACCGCATCCTGCAACAGAAAAAAACTAAAAGTTTACAATATTAGTAGGCAGAGGCAGTGTGAGGAAAAGACCAACAACGGGGAATAGAATCTTAGGTAGAAATCTGTTGTCCACTATCACTGTTCTACACGTGAGAAAGACAGGGGTGGGGGGGAGGTCTGGCCATCAGGATGCAACGGGAGCTCCAGGGTTCATGGTCAAGCAGTTGTCAAGCACGGCCGCTTGAGCAGGCTCAAGTCCAGAGCGAACCTGGTCAAACTCTGCCGGGAACTTCTCGCGGACGTTCTGCACAAACTGAACCAGGACAGATTGGGTCTCTGAAACAGACAGGAGAGATATGTGTAGTAGTTTGCATGGCAGGCATGCATCACCAGTCTAAAAATGATCATCATCTTGCACACCACAAAAGTGACTTTTTGCTACCAGATTACATGGGGTTTCAATATACAGTCATTTGAAAAATATGAACAAGCACTTTTCATTCAATCTTTACTCTTTACTTACTTTCTCCCTCAACAAATATACAGAGAAAACAAAACCCACAAGGATTCAGATGAACATTATTTTACCTATTAGTCATACATACAGAAAATATTTTATTAAAATTTGATTTTGAAACATGAACAAACATTGCACATTGTTTCCAGAACAATCAACAATAGTTCCTCAAAAGTGAAGTCACAAAAATCGACAAGAAAACGTATCTGTTTCTCACCTGGTTTTATTTTGTCCGTTCCAACCACCACAGTTACAACACTGAGTATTTTTGGAATGAAAGGAACAATCTGAAAAAATGAAACGAGAATAACCCCACAATTAAGGATTAAACTGACAATAATGAATATGTCTGAAAGTCGAACAAATACAAAATGAGGAAACTACACAAATCTTAAAAAATTAATAAATAAAAATTACCGGATTACAAATCAAAGTACATTTTACACTGCAAAATTCTGTTCAAAAGTCTTGTGCCTTAATGCATAGAAAGGGCACAATTCAGTCTTATGTGTTTCATTCCACCTCAGCCTAACCGACCAATCACCTTAGAGTACTGAAACCCCACCCCCCAGGTAGATCATTTGTTTAGAAAAAAGGGCAGCAAAATGGTGAGACATCAAACATTTGAGACTTGTTTGCCAAGACAAGGTATGAAAAAACAAAAACCTTAGCTGTAGACAGCAAACCATGCTATTCAAAGTTCAAGTATTTAACTACTGTTCCAAGAATAGGGTGGGGTCTGCAGGGGGTCAGCACGAGAATGGTCTCTATTCACAAGAATAAATAAAGAAAACGTAACACCTAAAGGAAGCAAAATGAGCATACAACACCAGAGCCCACACCAAATGCCAAACATTTATTGAACACCTAGAGTCCCTCAGCTCAACAACATCGAGTAACTAGCACAAAAGAAACAGATGTCAAACAAAGACCAGTAAGACAAGTGTCTTCTTTTTATTACTTTTTAAGCGCAAGATCTGAAACAAACAACTGCCCATTGTTCGCCATTCATTTCTCCGTTTGAATATTCTTTTAAAAAAGCTGTATATCCTGGTGTTTCCCAACCCATCTGTTCAAGTTCCTTGAATTACTCTTTGTCTACATCTTCCTTTTATGCCTTCTATTTTTCCAATGAGAGCAAGATGTTTCAGGCTTTTAAAAGTGTCAAACCATTTGTATTCAAAGTTGTCACCATAAAGCTAGCCTCGGCACGCTGACACCATAAGAGATGTTTCCACAATGGCAAATTCGAAAGCACTCACCTCTGGCACATTGTCTCCATAGAATTTCATCAAACAGGTGAAGACTGTCACATACTCCTCAAAGTCTTCCTTCAAAGGCAGCAGCTGCATCACAACAGGAAGCACCTGGGGAGGGTTTCATTTCACTTTTGCTAAAGATCCACACATATTTCAGAACAAAGCACTGCTAAATCAAAACAACAAAAAGAGAATAAAAGTAGTGGACTGATGGGGCAGTGCTTTAAGTAGGAGAAAAAAACCCATCTGGAGACAGTTTACTTTCATGGTCGTTAAAGACAAAGGCACGCAGGGGCAGGTAGAGATACTGCAAAATCAAAACAAGAGAAGCTTTAGCCTGGGGAAGATAAAGGTGTAATACAGATCTAGACTTTTTGTCCAGTAACAACTGCTAGCTCAAGACAAGAATGAGCGGCCAACTAAAAATACAGATATGGACCAAAAAACGCCCAAAATAGTTGATAAGGGCATAAAAAAATGTTTGTTAGCAAAAAATTACAACAGTAATTTAAGACTTTGACGTTTTTATTACCTTTCTACTTCAATCTCTTGTGATATGTAGGCTTTGGTCACCAAACTTTTTCAAGTGGACCAGACAACTGAGAGAATGCCGAATGCAGGCCGGAGAGCACTCTACAAACAGGTCTTTGAAGTTTTCTATTCCTAGGTGGCCCTGATGCCTGACCAGCCATTCATCACACAACTTCCACTCCGACAGGGATTGAAAAGACTAATATTCTCCTGTACTCACCGGTCAAACAGAAAGTTATTTCATTTTCTAGCAAAAATCCAAAAGTCAGTTTTGCCATTTAAAAACTTTCACCACAGAATTCGTATATAATGACACTATTTCCGGAGTTATAAAAGACTGGACTGAAAAATCGACCTGGTCAGTCAACTAACCACTAGCAGTTTGTGTCAGAAAAGGGTTAAAAATAACTCGAAGAAAAGCAAATTACTTCAACTCGCTACGGGCACCTAAAAGTGTAAGCACAGGATGTTCATATTCAAACATGTCCAGCCAACTTCTCCGCTCACTCTTACCTGTGGGACTGGAACATGGCTGGGGCTGTGCCACATCATTCTGCACACAGCTGCACAGACATTGTCCAACACTCGGGGGTTCGGTTCTGCATTCATCAGGGCAAACAGAGTCTTCAAAATATCAGTGTAATGGCTGGGGGGAAAGACAAAAAAAAATAGCTGGTCCAAAATCATTGCAAAAACCACACTCACATTAGCTGCACTTTTCAAACATGGTATTCCGTGGAGACAATTGTACTACACCGTAAAGACTGAACAGACATCAAAATAAGAAAGTATTGGGAGGGAAGACGTCCACAGATGAACAAATACACACATTTTTAAATTCATACGATACAACACACAACAAAAACCTATAAAACCGCAATATATATATATATATGGTAAAAATAATTTATTATAACTACATAACTAACTAAAACTGTATGAAAGCAGCAATCTGACCAACAGGCAATTTTCTTAAAAACACAGACAAAAAAATTCCAGCAAATCTTGGCCATCATGTCAAGCAATATCCCATGAAGGAGTCACTGACCTGATCATACCATCACCACCATTGACAGCAAGAACACCCAGGGCAAACACCGCGTTGCTGCGCACTTCCTCATCCTCATCCTTTGTCATCCGAGTGAAGACTGGATACAGTGTGTTAGTGAAGGCTGATCCCACAGGAGACCCACAAGCCTCGATCACTTCTGCCAGAGTTCCAACTGCGAAAGATTTTTCTGATGTGGAGGACGTCTCTTTCTGAAAGTGTGAAAAATACATTAAAATTTTAAAAGATCGCATAAACACGAAGTGTTCTGGTCTGCTTTACAGAAAGTGTATTTTTTAGTAGAGGTTTTACAGCGCTCGCAAATGCATAAGATCATATGAGTAAATAGAATCAGTACAACCACAAATAAAACTGTTGTAGTTGTATGGTGTTGCTTTTCCTGTTGTCTCAAACTAACAAAGCTGTGCAAGGTTGTCAGGATCGCTTTGTAAGTTGTTTATATGGTTTACATGCATATTAATGTTTTTCTTAGGTAACTAACATGTTTCTGTTCCCATTAAGTAGTAGGATTATCAAATTATGCGAAATGAAAAGAATACATCCTAAAGAAAAAATACAACAATAAGGAACATACCAATCTTTTGAGCAAGTCAGTGACAAAGGACGTGAAAAAAGGCAAGAAGTTCTCGCCCCCCATGAGGCGTGCGATGACAGGAAGCACATCCCCTGCGGACTCGATGAGCATACTGTCGTACTCCGCTTCCATGTCTTCTTCTGCGTCTTCCTCTTGGTCTTGACAGGCCACCTGGGTGCAACAATGTGAGATCTGCCTTCAAACAATGGCTAACAGTTTAACCCTGTGACTTCAATAGGCCACACACTTTGCTTTTCGGAAATACATTACAAAGCACTTAGCATGCTCTCAAGTTTTATTATGTACATGAAAGCCCCTGCAGTATGTACCTCTCATATAATGCACACTCGGTTACAAAAACACATCTTCATATAATATAATATATATCCAAAGGAATTATCCAGTAACTTGATAACACCATTTTAGTCCTATCTCATTTCATATGAACTTCAAACTCCTTCTTAAAAAACATACACAGCAGTTTTTTTCAAAATAGTAAGATCCGATTATTTTAACACTTTGTTGCCTCATCTCGCCGATTAGCGAAGTTTACTACCCAGTTTCTTTGGATTTTTCCCCAAAATATGATGGCAAAGTTACAGTAATTTGTTGCCCACACCTGTCGCTTGTTTCAAAATGGCTATATCCTTGTCACAAAATCTTACTCAACAGCAACGCTGAAGAAGCCGGAGTAAATAATTCCACAAGGGCCACTTTATCCCCCACCATAACTTACTTTGTGGGTGAAGATTTCCTTCATGGCTGTCAGTATAGCATCAGTGGCCCCTGTGATAGCCAGCACTGGCTGACCAATCTTGTCCAGCATCTCTTGTATGGAGTCAACGGCAGTCATGACCACTGTGCGATCAAGCTCTGTCTTGATGGCTTCCAGGTATTTAGGAACAATTCCTTGGATCATTGTGTTGAGAACTGTGAAAACAAAGGCATGTTATCATTATAAAACAGGTATCAGTAATGCAGTCAGTGTAAGATCAAAACCATGGAGGCCATCCGCTTTCTTTACCCTATGGCAGCAGCACAGACAACTACATTGAATTTTCGAAACAAGAAATTAAAATGCCACTGCGGCTTATCAAATATAGACAGGGAGGATAAAAAGCTGGACAACAAAATGTATGTAGTGCTTACTCAAAAAGTCTTCCAGTTCAACAAAACGACTCAGACATGTGGATATACATTTTTCTAGCCACATAATACAAAATCATCAACTGAAACAATCTTTAAAATTCTAATTTTTCCCCACTCACACCCTCAAGCAAAACAAATCAGGAAAACAACTAAACATTAGAGATAAGAGCCTTTCCAAAGAAATCACTATTCTTTCTTAAACAGCCAATTTGGTATGAACAGAGTAATTCTAACACGTTACATCCAGATAAAAATATGACATATAATTGAAAAACGATCAGCACGTAAACAATAAGTCTCATTTAGTGCATGGAAAAAAAAGTAGGACATTCCAACCATACCAGAGGCCCACTACAACCCCCCCCCCCCCCCCCCCATGCAACTATCATAACAGAACAGAAAGCCGAGACACCTAGCAGCAGAGCCTTACCCTCAGCAGCCTCGTTGGACTGAGACTGTTTCTGGGCCTCATGGACGCACAGACAGAACTGGCACAGTGCCTGGAAGGCTCCCTTCTTAATGCCCACGGCTGGGTACTCCACCATCTCCATGGACTCTGTGTACGCCGTCTGCATGTACGGCAGGAAGGCAACACTGCTCGCAGAAATCAGGGGGCAGCGGAGAAGGCATTAGTAGTGGTGGTGATGGTGGTGGTGGTGGTGGTAGTGGGAGGAAGACTGTGTGTGTCTTGTACTTTTATACTTAAGCGTAGAGTTTGAGTAAACAAAGCATATGGATGGTATCAGGCGCAAGCCATGTAAGTCCAAAATAAGTTAAGTTTTATTTTTGTTTGAAAAGATCCCTTCGAAACCATCTTGCTTCAAGTCTTTGTATAAAGCAAGTTAACAAAGCGAAAATGATAAAATAATATGACATTTGCACATGTAAATTATTAAAGACACTTTCTGGCACACTTGACACAAGCACACAATTTTCCTTAACCCTTTCAGCTCTCGCCAACTGGTGGCAAGTAAAACAGCCCGTCTGCCTAGCCACCGGTACAGCGGTAAGCGAGACTCTATCCCCACACCAGCCCACCTGAGACAAAACGCGTACAGCAAACAGCGTTTACAACGCAGGACGTTTTTAATTATTTGAAGATCTTTCTGGATTTGATGCTGGTAATGATGAGGACTACCCTGAGCGGGATATGGAAAGTGATTCTGACGATCATAGGAATGTAAGTAATATATCGCTTAGGAGCTCAGGCAGAGGGGCATGGTAGCCTCAGGAGGTCAGGGCTCAAAGGGTTAAAAGCAGTCAGTTTCGGCTTCCATAGTTTGTGCTTGTGACACAAGAATGGTCATTTAGTGTAGAGGAAATGTAAAATAGACAAACAACAGCGTGAAAAAAAAATAGAAGTAGGGCCTATAAGTTTTTCCCTCCAGCTATCCACTCTTTCCTATTGGGGCACTTTTGAGATCTATCAAAATGACAAATGCAAAGATCTTGCATAAAAGTTTGCATACGTAATGATAAAAATGACGAGAGAGATAAAAACAAAAAATACAAAATTTCCATAACAATGGAGTGCAAGATATTCTCCAAATATCTATAAAGTCCAAGATGGCTAAGAACAGCACATCTTTTACCTCAAACCATCTTCTTCCTATCATCACCTTACCATATCTGTGTAAACATTACTTAGAACATAGAGCAGACAGTAAATTGTAAAAATTTGGAGGGGAAAAAAAAAGAAGATATTTGTACCTTTTTATTTCTCCTAATTTAATTGAAGCTTTGAGCAGCAGGCTATTCCTTTATTTCTTTCTCAGTATGACAAATATAATTTGTATCCCTGTCCAAATCAATAACACTTTGTCAATTAACTCCGTCAAAAATAAAATAAAAATTTGAACTTTATGAACCATTGAAAGCAAAATGTATGTATTACATTGGTCATACTCACCCAGTGTTGAGGGCCAGCTCTCCCAATGCACAGCAAGCGTCCTCTTTTTCATCCAGATAAGCATTTTCTACACTGATGCTGTTGTACAAATGAAACAAAAAGTGACATTTATTCACAAAAAGCGACATTTACTCAAACCACCAAAAAGCAACCAAAAAGAATATTGTATGCAATATTATGAGTTTTATCTCCTAAGGAACCTATAGGTAAGGCTAAAAATTTATCATAGTATTAAAAATGAAACCTTACAAAAGCTAAAATTTGCACACAAATTTCCACATTGTCAGAATCAGAATATCCAGTTAAGCACACATCAATAAGAGCAAGAAGGAAAGAGTTTCAGCATACCAGTCTCTGTAAATTACAGATTTAAAGACATATGGGAGAGAATGTACAAACACAAATCAAATAAAATGTAAAAGAAATAAAGTTACCCCTCCAGTTTGTAGTCATCCTCATCATCAGCATCCAAATTTTCGTCATCGTTGAACTCATCCTCGTTGAATATGGTCACAGTGTCACTCTCATCTTTAAAATGAGCCTGAAATAGAACAAAATAAGGGTTGTCAAAGGAATAAAGGCATCTAGCAATGGAAAGCTGAGCTTTGCGGTTTCATAGAAGGAGCTAAAGCAATACGTATTCGTAATACCACAGCATTAAACTAAAAACGGCAGCATATATTCTCCTCAAGCAGGCAAAGTTTTGAATAGACACCTGTGATTCTTGCACACCATGTGACATACATGAAGAGGTACTAACCTAACACAGAAGATCAATCCTTATCCATACCCACTAACTCGTATATACCTTAACTCCCTCTGTGGACTTCATGGCAGAAACCATGAACTTGGTGATCCTCTCCAGGTACTCGGCCATCTCTGTCTTCAAGATGATCGAAATAGCTGCAAACAATCCATACCTAAAAAAAAATCCACAAAGAGAGAAACATACCAGAAACTTGTAAACAATATCCAAATTGCAGTTTGATATAACACAATTTGCAATAACTAATTATTCCTCAGCACATTCAAAATTACCCAAATAAAATATGCAATAAAAAGAAGTACCGGAAAATATTTATTTGCTGAAAGATAACAAACTATTTGCACTTAGGGTGACTAAGGGAATAAAGTTAAAGTAACTTTCCTAGTAATGCTACATCCTAACATGAAAGGCAAAAAACAGAAGCAATGCCTGAGGACGTATTTTGTGTGGATACCACGGCATATGCAAACAGAGTACTGCACAGAATCTAATGTCACATTCCCCTACACTGTGGAGCCCTAAGGCTGTGTTTTGTCACTCACTACTTCTCTAAATAATATATAAATAATCACAGAAGTCAGTAGTATCCAAACAAGACTGATAAATAGGTGGTCAGGTCTTTTAAATGGTGCAGATCAAATTATTCATTAGTAAATCTATCAAAAACAAAACAAATGATTTTGGACTTTAGATGAACGATGCCAACAGTCTCTGGAGCAAATTGAAATAAGTAAGTCACAGACTCACTGCCGAACGAATGATGAAATATTCTCTTTAAACATTCACTGGGAAACCACATTTAAAAAAGCAAATAGGAATATATTTCTTCAGGATGCGCACACCTATCAAAGTAAGTACAAATAGTCTGAACTGGATGATCTGAGCAAGCCCTAAAACATCAGTGAACTGAAAAAGGAGAATTTTTTAATTGATCAGCTCAACCTTTAAGAAGGAAGCATTATTTCTAATAGATAATTTATGCCTACCTCAGCCAGGCTGGTAAATGAACATTTTGCTATGAAAAAAGATTTGTGCAAGAGAGAGAAAGAAAATGTGAGTTTTTAAGTGTGCATTTGAGTGTGTGTGTGTCTGAGATTTTGGAATAATCTCAGCTTTATAAATATACTATCAAGATGAATTTCTCACTTGAGTATGAGATGAAAAAGTTTTTCAGTCATAACATAGTAACTAACAGGATGAGATTTTTTCCAATCAATGCTCATCCAGGTATATATTGATAAACAGACAGCTGCAAAAATTAAGTCATGAAACGAAACAATACAAACCATTAAATTTACCATCAAGGCTAAAAGTTAAAGAGAGTACTAAAAATCGTAAACTTACACACATCTGCGTAGATCAGGGTCTGTAGAGGTTTCCAGAAGATTCAGACCCAACTCTGTGCACTCTCGAGAAAGGGGACGGAACGTTTCTTCACCGATGCTGCGTGCCAAGACACTCAGTGTGTCTGAAAAAAAAATATATATTTGTGCCCAGCTTATTTGATTTGAGAAGCTTGTGAATCAAATATGGTGAGAAAAAAAAAGAAAGGAAAGACAAACAGACATTTCAGGCATAAATCATCCAAACTGGCAAAAGCCTGAAAATAATGAGAACATGAATGTCAAAACAGTCAGCAAGTTCATTCAGAGTCACTGATCCTATGAACACCACCTCACAAGAATGACAAACGAAGCAAGAAAGAAATGTACAAAATGAAATCAGACAAACAAAAGAATTTTTAAATAGTTTATGTGACAAGATGACAAAAGCGTTAACATGCACCAGGGGCCAGCCACAACAAAGCGCCTGCCAGCCACAGAAAGACCTTTAGGTAGAGAAATAGGCAAGGCAAGGTATGGGTTTGATGCCCCATTCAGCAGTGTAAAGGTTTTCTGCAGATATTCAAGAGGCTGGACCCCTTTTCGAATCTCTCTCCAAGAAGAGCGACCCAAGTTGTTACAAGAAATCCAAACCAGGGTCATACGATCTTAAAGTACGACATGATACTATGTGAGACAAAACAATGTGTCCTAAGTGATATACAGGGTCCCCACCAAATCCTGGAAAAATTTTTCAAGACCCCCAAATTTTTTTCAAGACCCCAATTCGAGGGAAAAATCAGGCCGCTGCGGGTCAAGAATGATCCCCCAAAAAAGCCAATCTATCAAAGATAAAGAGTCAAAATGTCTATAAATGAATGCAAATGTAGATTTTGTAGTATAGTCTTCAAACAATAGATGACTATAATACTGGGTGACTGCCAAACCAGCTTCTCAATTTTCCAAGGGAGGGGCCTCATCCATTTTCCAGGAACACGTTACATAACAATGAAAGCGTGTGCTCCATTTATATCTAATATAATACATGTATATGTTTTTGAATACACACACACACACACACACACATGTAGGTACATTATATCCAGTTAACAACATGTCAGTGTGGCACTGGGATCTTGAGAGACTTTGGTATTTCAATCTGTTCTTACTTATTTATATTTTCCCATCATCATATTAGCCAACATAACAAACTATAGACCCTATATAAAAAAATGAATCCTGTTTTGAGCCTGAAAAAAAACCTAGAACTAGAAAATCGACTGTCAATAACCAGTCTGGGTGTCCTGATTCATATAATAAACGTGAAGACGAAAACCATTGCTGCAACTCAAAGTAGAGTAATAACTAGAATGGCTCAAGTACACCTATTCAGTGTGAGAGGTGTAAGAACTGGGGGGGGGGGGGGGGGCGCGCAAGATGCAGTGACACTGAAAACCTGCCAATCTTGAACAGAAAGCTAATAAAATATAGATATAAATTACAATCACCCCATCCAATGAAACGCGAACACTTTAGTTCAATAACAAGGCATGACGGATCCTGATTCCACACAAGGCCTGCACCAACGCGCGCTTTGCAGAGAGCTCTAAAGTAGTACTAGTAGTAATCAAAATGCTAAAAATTTGCTTCTAAGTTCAGTTTTTGTCCTCTAGCGTTGCCTTCAGTTCCCCCCCCCCCCCCAATCCCCTTCCACGAGTGTATCTTATAAAGGAGTCCTATACTTCACAGCGCTCAGGCCGCCGGTACTCACAGGTTCATTGACCGGTCACGAGGGCGAACCTGTCAAGACGCTTGTATAACTCCTTTTTCTTTTTTCTTTTTTCCACAAGCGACAGCAGAGGGCAATTTTTAATATTGATTTATTTTCAAGGCGACACACCGTTCATAATGCACAACCTGCATGTTACAAATGTTGCGTTATCTATCAGACTATTACCGGAAAATTTCTGGGCGGTAACGAAAGCAGATCTTGATTATTCCCGATCGAGCCTCGGTGTCACACATACACTTCCGTCACAGCGGTTCAATTACATTTCTTCTTTAGGATTCATCAACCATACAGTCTAGATAGCTGCACATTACACAGGCCCTATACTTTCCCGACTTACCGACCCATCACAAAATTCCCGACTTTTTCCCGACCTATCTAAAAATTCCCGACTTTTCCCCGATTTCCCGACCCTGTGGGGACCCTGGATATAGTAAAAGCCAGTACAAAAAAAAGTAAGCAAATGAACTAACCAATTGCAGCTACTTGCAGCTTTTTCACTTCCTCCTCTTCCGATGAAGTGGTCAAGTATGCCTTGAAGAGATCCAGAATGTCCTTGAAGTATGGTCGCATCTCCACACCCGCAGCATTTGCTACAAAAAAGAAAAAAAAGAGTTACTCAGAAGATCACCAAGATTTAGAACATAAAAGTCATAGGAATGCTGTCCATCTCTGGGTTATCTATTTCTAAAACGAATGAGGAGCCAGTTCTGAATTATAACCTACTAATCAAAATGTAAACGTTAATGCTTTTAAAATTTCAGTAAAAAGTCATTTTCTAAGTCATAAACAAGATACAGCTTAAAAAACAAATATCTTCACATTCTCTGCTCTGAAAATAGGATTACTCAAAAAGGATTTGATTCCCTGCACTTACCAGCAGCACCAATAGCACTTATGGCCAGTTCTTTTGGTTTATAGAGAGGAGAATTTCGAAGTACACTCAACAAATACTCCATGAGGGACGGGAGATACGGCAGAATTCCCACACCTGCAACATAAAAGAAAAAGTTCCTTTACAACAGAAGTAACACATAACGAACTACAACAGGGTAAACATATAAATAGTTTTTGTGCACACGGTATAAGTTTTTCATTTCAAATATGTTGACTTTACAATATCATTTTTCAGCTCGTCACAAAATGTAGCGAAAAACAGCACCTCGAAAAGAACAATCAAGACCATGTCTCAAGATGAATGATGCAAAGGTAATAACAAAATACTCAAAGAAGAACAAGATGATGCAAACAACACACTTTCTTGCCTAATTAACCACATACATTATTATCCCAAGAGACAAAATTTAAACCAACAAGGCACAAACATAGAGTAGTGTGTGTATTCTTTCATTTTTTTATAACAGTCCTAACATTTCGAGCATAGAAAAGTTGCCTTTTTGGGGTGTAACAAAAGTAATAGCACAACACCAAAACTATAAATTGACAAAGATGGGAGCGTAAGTTTTTGGCTGGTTGATTGATACATTTCAAAATAACTAATGAACTTGAAACATATGTTTATCCCATTACATGGACAATAATTCAATTTTCTACAAGTAGAATTAATATTTTTACAAAAAGGAAATAAAAATGAAAACAAAGCGTAATTTTCACGGACAGAGACACATTTCCCCCCATATATTTTCTTACCTAAATTCTCACAAAACATTTCAAGAGCGTAGTGGCTCTTGACAACACCCTTGGGATTTTTCTCAACTTCTTCCATTGACTTGTTCAGGTATTGAAATAACAGAGGAAGAAGTTCTGAAGCGTAATTGCTTATGCAGGGCTGAAAATACATACACAAAAAGGAGAAAATAATCTCTGGTGCAAGATCACGAAAAGAAACAATATATCATTCTTCACAATAAAAAAAAAGACTCATCTGCTCAACTACTGTGACATGAGAACACAATGACCATAATGGGCCTTTGAGCTTAAAAGTACTGGTGGAACAATTATTATAACCATGTCCCTGTCAAGCATAAAACATAAGTGACTCAGGAAAATGGGAACTGGACTTCAGTGGCCACCCACTGGCTGAGAGAAAGAATTACAGAAGCACAAGAGACATTGAAGCGTGCAGAAAGCGCATTCAGGCCCTACCTTCCAGTAACGGAAAACTTTTTTTAAAATTTTTTAATTCATTCACAGCATGGTGTTTTATGAGTCTTATATTTCCTTTATATACTGCATGGTCATACTGCATATTCTCAAACCTTGACAAACAAGATGTCATAGTTATCACACTATTGTCTTAGTCAATTTTTATTTTGTTTTGGGAAAGCTTTTTAAAAAATGGTTGCTTGTCAACTTTACGACTTTAGCAAAAGCAAATATGTCTTAATTATTACACTTTAACACACCAAAAAAAACACACTGCTATGCAGTGACTCTGAAACATGTAATTAGCATTTCACACAAACGACAAGAAAGCTCCAACAAAAAAAAATATTAGGCAACTGTACTACGAGCATGACAAACTGCTCCTCACCTGCAGATGTTCCGAGAACTGACCCACGGCAAAGAGAGCAGAGTTCCTCACCATGGAGGCCGGATCGTTGAGACCCTGGCACACAGTCTGCAGCATCTGGGACAGCAACCTGGGCCGCGACGAAGAGACAGTTTTTAGTTTTAGTAAGTGTTTTACGGCACTTACAACCCAATAAGGTCATATAAGTGCCGAAGATTAGAGGTGTTACAAGAGAGTGACAAACACAAAAAAGAAGGAGGGGAGATAAAGATGATAGATGTTTGATAGGAAAGAAGAAGCAAACCCCACCAGAGTACCCGCCCACCACCCACACAAAAAGACAGTTGACTAGCACACAAGTAGTTACACAATAATAGAAGAGCAAATACAAGGGGGTGGGGGGGGAGACGAAAGAGATTTTTAAAAACGAAAATGAGCAAAAGACTCCTCGGACACTTTAAGATAAGAGAATTTTAAATGAAAATGAACGAAGGAAAATTTAGCTCATGAACACATTTAGCACAGAAACTACCAAGAATGAGCATATTTTCTGCATTAAAAAAGCTGTCATTTTCACTTTTTGTTACTCTTTCCATCCCCCTTAGAGTATAACCAGAAATAAAATTGAAGCACAAATTCAGTGAAATGAGCTATAAAAGGACAGCATTCAGCCGACAGAAATGTGAAGGACATAAAGTCTTTACATAATAGTTGTACAGCACAAAAAGCATGCTGTAGAGCGTGATTATGCGCTATATTAATGCAATTATTATCATTATTATTACTTTTGCTATTATTATTATTAATGTCATCATTATTATTATATTCAAGGGCAGAGGTCACTGTCCAGACATACTTGTTCATAACGTAATCTGCACATCCCTCCACAATGACAGCCAGAACCAGGTAAGCCGCACGTCTGTGACTGGCCTCACTGCTTTTCAAACATGTATCCACCATAGGAGTCTGGAGAGGGGAAAAATGTAGACATAACAAGTAGATAAATGAAAAAGAAAACCATTGTGGGAGTAAGAAAAAAAGACATAGGAAATGACAATCTACAGATAAGAGAAAAAATACTACACTACTCAACAAAAAATAAAGAACCCAGACTTAGGTCTTAAAAAACACTCAATGATTAGCAGTTTTTCATAAAGCCCCCAAAGAGTGTAGTAGTAGTGGCAAAAGAACATATCAAAAGCAAATTCATGACAAAAGTTTTTTAAAAGCAATTGCAAACCAATCTAAATAATAAACAAAGGAGCATAAATGGGCGGATAAATGATATCTGTTTATCTAAAAAAAAGGTGAAATGAAAATACAGTTTTAGGTGATGATCTGATTAAAGCAATAACACTATTATTTTTACAACTATTTCAAATAGAGACAACAGCAACATAACAGAATCGAACTCAGCATGCAAAGTTGTTCCATTATAAAGGAAAAAGAATTAGTTCTAGGTACTTAATCAAGCATACCACTTTTTTGATGAATTTTTCCGCAGGCAGATGAAGAGCCATTGTATCGATGACCTGGAACAATAAAAAATAAAATTTTAAAAAGAACATTTCCAAGTCAGAAGAGTTTGTCAACACAAGAATTGTCGTACAAAGAAAGGAACAAATACAATATCCCACAAAAGAAAGAGAGGTATATTAGAAAAACTGAAACTCTTAACTCACTTGCGACTGGGCCCTTTCACCAGTCACAAGCGTTGAAGACTGGCGTTTTTGGGGGTATTTCAATAAATCACCACAACTCTTAGAATTACCCTATTGTAATTATGTTTTGACACAGTAAAGTAACATTCAAGCTTAATCTAATACAAAAAACTAAAGTTGTCTAAGTTTAATACTTTAATTTGTATGATTTTTTTTTAATTGGCATGAATTTGATTTTCCAAAAAATTTCCAGAGACGTGACAAGTGGAATGAAATTCACTACAACAACAAAAATAAAAGTTCAAAGTGTTCTGGTTTGATTTGTATACATATGCGAGTGTTTGGTGAATATATAAAAGCTGGTCTGTGCATTGATTCAGACCCATACACTGAAAATACATAGACAAATGTACGGCACAGCGTGATTTCGTTGCGCGAAAAACAACACCGGTACTAGTGCTAGATCTAGCCCTAAAACTACGACTCGGGCCGTGTTCAGGTACATATCCAGGATCCTAACTATTAGACACATCATATTCTGAGACACTAAAACTAGTAAAACGTACAGAAGTATAGAAAACGGCAAAATTATGTGATTCTGGTTCATGCGACTTCTTCGACCGTTACTACGACGCGACTGTCGGATTACTATGAGCTGTATAGAAAAAAACAAAGCGCGAGTTCCGGTCTGTTCAACCCCAGTTGGGGTCACTGTCCTTCACCTTCAATAACTTAAAAACTACCGGCCCCAGAGATACGAAACGAAGTCTAAGTAGCTCAGGCTTGGCCAAACAAGGGTACGAGGCGGGTCTCGCGATCCGTGCGTGATTTGTAGAGCGAAAAAAAAATTCCAAAGTTGGTCACGCAGGGCTCGTGTGACCCGTCGCGAGCGTCGCGGCGGGGGTCACGCAACTGTTGTGTGACCCGTCTGAAGTGAGTTAAGGGCAGAGACAAACTGGATAAAAATTGGTGTTTTCTCCGCTATTGGTTATACCATGACATACAATGAACATGGTGCATTGTACAGCTAGACGATATGATTTCCTTTTAACTCTATTTTGTTTGTTTGGTTTGAGTAAAGAAAAGCACATCAGCACAATAATAGTCATCTAGTGCTAAGGGGAAAAGTAAGACAGAGACAGAAACAACAGAGGGAAAGTTAAGAAGTTGGAACTCCCAGTAGTGCACCCTCCAACTTCCAGAAATATTATTTTGGAAGAACAAGATAAAAATGGCAGTTACAAGAAAATGGAGCAGACACATCTAGATGGCCATCTACTTAAAGAATTAGGAATTTGGAAATTCAAATATCTGGTTTGAAAGCAGGCAAGTTATACCTGGACAGCAAACTGTGATGGTCTGTGAGACTCCACTTCCTCTTCATCGTCGTCTTCCTCTTCCTCATCGTCACAAATGATGGGAAACAGGGTCTGGAGGATAGGGTCCACCAGGTGGTGTTTGAGCACAGTCTGGAAAAGCAGAAAAGGCAATGGAGTAAAAATCCTCATTCACTACGGTGGAAAACCCCCCCAGCTCAACAGAAGCTTCAAACAAACTTTTCTCTCGTTTTGATTAAGTTTTGGGTTCCAAAAGACATAATATATGTGTAATTTTTTTAATCGACGTACTAGGTTAATCCCTAGAAAAACGCACAGCATCTAAACTAGAAGATTTGTGAAAATGTTGAACCACAATTTTGAGACAGCATATGGGACAGTAGAGCATACTATAGGAATTTGAAACTAAAAAACTTGTTCCATTTGATCCAACTCACTTTTTTCTTCAGTCTGATCAAAGAAGACACAAAGGACATAGCTTTAACGCGGAGTGGATCAGTCAGATCTTTGCTGCTTGCAATCTGAAGAAGGAAAAGCAGAAAGTTATTTTGACAAGTTTACTATACATGATACAGCGGTTAACTATTCAATGCAGTAAAAATCTTTCAAGTTCAAACACAACAGAGCCTTTGTTGTCAAAAACAGTGGAAATTATTGATAATTAAAATAATCTTAAAGCTCAGTTATACTAAACTGTCATCAATAATATCAGCATCCCAGGACAACGACAGTGATGCTCAACAAAAAAACTTCAAGACACAGAAATCTAACTAGCGACATCTACATAAAAGGCGTCCAACCTAACCGTACTACCACAGACACCACTGGTAATTCTGCAGGAACCAATAAGGACAAAAATAAAATAGAAAATTAGAGAAGGGATCAAGCCATGTTGGAACACAAACCCACCAACTGCTACTCAAAAAAGGGAAAATTCTTCAGGTCAACAATAGTATATAGAATATGTAAGTCTTATAGGAACGGCATTCAGCTGGGTTAACACTTCAGATTCCCTAAAAAAAAATTGTCATGCGTGATTTTCCTTGCAAATAAAGAATTTGATGACAGAGTGAAATTCAAAAGATCCCAGTGCTGGCACTATTTCCTATAAAAATAAGTGTTACCTTTTGACATTCTAGAACTATGTTCACTAAAAGCACTCTCGAATTTCATAGTGGTACAACAATTCCTCGACAGTCAGGCTAAAGACTTGTTAAACGCATCGTGTAAAAAAACCCAACTGATCAGGTACTACAACACTTTTCAAACAGTTCTAACATCCAAATCCTCCTCCCTTATGAAATAGTACAATAGGATGGCTTACAAAAACTAAAAGAAATTACGGATAACAGCAATCTATTACACTTACTTGTAGACAGTACTGCACCAAGGTTTTCAGGTGAGGAACAATGATGGCTACTTCAGACTCCAGAAGTTCATCAAAAAATTCCAGGGCCACACAAGCTTTTTCCTGCACAAAGGAAAAGTAAGAAAACTCTCACTTTATATTTTAATTTACTTTGAGTAAAAAAAAAGGACATCAACACAATAATGGTTGCTTAGTGTAGGGAAAGAGCATGATATGTACACAGAGACAACAGAGGGAAAGAAAAGAAGTAGAGAACCAACCAATGGCGCCCTCTAACCATCCTCTCCCACCCTTTTTTTGAGGGGGGGGGGGGGAGTAAGTGTTTTAAGGTGCTCGGAACTGCATAAGGCCATATGAGCGCGCAGGACATACCAAACATTTTCAGTAGGTAGGAAATTTTGAATTTTACGCGGGTGGCAACCGAAGCCTACTCTTATCGATTTTGGACCACCAAGGGATCTTTAACATGCACAACTTGCACACAGGACCTCCAAGGAGTAGATCTTACCTACCATAAGATTAGGGGTGTGGCTGAAAGACAGCAGTAAGAAGGAGCCAAGGGGACGCAGCAGAAAGGCTGCAGAAAGAGTCAGGAGCCCAAAGTAGGGGGCAAAGGAGGTGAGGGGGTGGGGGCAGAAAGTGTAAACGAAAGCAGATGACAGAACATTACTAGAGCGAAGGAAAGGACGTGAAAGTAAACAATTGTCAAGAAGAAAATGTTTCCGTCGCTACCCGGACTCAAACCTGGAATCAATAATAATTTCAGACACTCTGGTCACAGACCTGATCATTAAATAGTTTAAAGTCTTTGAATTTAGCTAATCACCAATACATGCAGTTTTTAAGACAGAATTGCAAATCTTAAGCCAGTCCTTTATGGATATGACCCCCTTAACATAATTCCCTCAATGATTCTAAGCATACAGTCTTTAAAACTAGAGGCAAAACAATTTATTGGGGTCCAAAATCTCTTACCTCATCCACAGCAGCCAGACTTTGCACGACCTCTAGTACTCTGGGTACTACGTTCTGAATGTGAGTCTGAAAGCAGCAAAAGCATAACAATTATCAGTCGGGCTATACAGAAAATATAAAATTTTTACCAAAACTGTATCAAAATAAAAAGGAGAGTAAAAAAAAAAAGTCTCTTCTTGTGACATTTCAAGTTTTTCTTAGTACTAGTTAGACATCTCACTTCACAGGCGTTTATTTCACTTTGGTAGCTCTTGCTTACTTATTGTCCATGTTTGGGCTTGGTCGCACAGCGCTGGTACGAGGCTGCTCATATTGAGTTGGCGCTTTGTTTCCATTGTGATGTTGGGGAGTGAAAGTAATGGTGCCAAGTGTAAGTCACAGCATAGGCCTTTTTATTGGGTTTTTTTCTTTGTCTATCTTTCCGTCTTGGGTGAACACACTTCCCTGATATTTGAACTTTTGCACTTGCTTGAGTTTGCTGTTTTCAGCACTGAAATTTTGTGGTTCTAGTGTTTTGTTAACTTTCATTGCCTCCGTTTTGCTTGTGCTGATCTTCAAGTCCTGAACTTTGCAGTTTTTGTTCAGTTCGTTTGTGTATTCTTAGAAGGTCTTCTCATAGTCGCTAAGTAAACTCTGTGATCTTCGGCAAAGAGAAGCTAGTTGTGTTGTCTTCCAGCTTTGCTTCTGCTGTTATTTTGTCCTTGTATGTAATAAATAGGAAAATAGTTGTCTTACTCCTGATCTAATGAGAACCATTGTGTTTTTCCCACATGGTGTCCCTACTCAGTGCTTCCACCAGCTGAAGCTGAAAAGTAAGGAAAATTCTGCAGGGGGTCTGGGGGCCGCAGAGGCCCCCACCAGGGTCCAGGGACAGCGTCCCGTTGGGAGTTCAGGGGGCGAACCCCCGAAGAAATAGAAATTTAGTGCTTTTAGAGGGTAGAAAATGGCATTTGGGAGCCTGTTTGAAGATATTGCCTACAGCCCATAATATTCATTTTTCACCAACATTTTGTCTTGTTTGACTTCATCGCCAGCATATCTTTCCAATGTTGGAAATGTTTAAAATCAGGTTCCCCTTTCATTTCTACTATAATTCAATTAATTTGTAGTCGCACCATTGACAGCAGGCAAACCTGGGAATAATGAATAGATGTACCTTCAAAATACGGTTGCGCAACGTATACCCACATTTTTTCTAAATTTTCATGTCTGAAAGTCGCCTGTCACAACCTCGGAACACCACTTCGAATTATTCTTGATTTTATACGTGGTGCTCACTATGGACGGGATCGGCCAATCGGGCCGATCGCCCGACTCGATCGCCTAAAAAACAAACGTGTTTGTTTTCAGTTTCAAAGCAAACACGGTTGTTCGACCGAGTCGGGCGATCAGCGCAATCGGCCGATCCCATCCATAGTGGGCACGACCGTATCAGCATATATATTTCTTTCATCATGGCCCTTATATTGCATTCACGTGCCGTAGAATCTTCGCATTGATAATTTCTCTAGATCTAGATAATATTTTCGAAAAAAGTTTTTTCCGACAGTAATTTTCTGTCTAAGATCAAAATCAGTCTTGATCAACGCGCAGATTTTCCAGCCGCGGCAACAATCCGAAGATAGACGGAAGGAATGAGTGAATGACAGAAAAGAGGAAGTTGGCACAAAAAGGTTCGCCAGATTTTGATCCATCTGCAGGTAAAAAATGTACTGCCGACCAACACGCAATGAATGCATGGGACTGGGACATAGCGGTATAATGTCCGATTGCAGGCGCAATTTGGCAGGTTTCTATAACGTTAGCTTGTTGCCGAGAGAATTACCGTAAATATCCGTACCTTATACAAGACGATACGAAGGCGAGTACGGAATTTCGGCAGTCCTGCACTGTCGCAGTTTTTTTTAACGGAGGGAGTAGATAATGATGGAGGGACAAGTACGGAACTGGCAGAAAGTACGGATTTCCTTAAAAATACGGAAGAGTGGACTACTGTTGTTTTGCTGTTTCCAGACCTGCCATTCTATGAAATATCAAAATCAGGATCTCGGGGGGGGTCAACTCTAAAAATGATAATATTTTCAAAACCAATGAGATGTACAGGCGAGATGTAAAATTATAATTTCCTCAATTCACGTACCATTTCATCGTCACCAATATAGAAGACCAAATCTGTCATGCACCTGAAAAAGAACAAAGTTAATTAGAATGCGTCACTCTATTTGGATTACTTTCAATACACGTCAGCTATGCAAGAGCCAACAAGTTCACTACATACAGCTAATGTGAAAACCAAAATGACTTTTAAAACTCCTGTCCTTTCAAACTTCAAATAAATAATTCAACCCAAACAACTGATGTACTTAATACTTTTCTACCTAATTTTGTTCTAATAATAATAATTAATAATAATTGCATTTATATAGAGATTACCAGAAACTGATGAGGAACATAGCACACAACGTTATTTTTTTTTTCCTGATTCTGTTACTTTTAGTTAGCATGAATCAACAGCCCGCCGGAGCTCCGACCCCAGGGCTAATGAGCCCTGAAGCTACTTTGCAGATGTGGGATAAGAAGTTTTTGCATTTTTGTCTACGTTGGAAATGAACTTCTTCCCCATTCTACACAGCAAACCATTACACTGATGTACTAAACGCTCAATGTCTTGAGATTTATTCTGTGTTAGAATGGTTAGTTTCTGTGCCTTAGTTTTTGCCCTATCAAGTGTTTGCAGAGTACCCAATTTGTCCTATTTTAGTTACAAACTTATGAATAAATGATTGTTTATTCAAAAACAGCATGACAGATCTCTCCAAAATCTGTGTTAAACTGACTATGAATATCATGCCCTTTACCATAAGAAATCTTAAATCTGCCCAAGTCGTAATAGACAAGTTATAAGAGAAGAAAGATGCACATCTACATTTTTTAACTAAAGGCACTCAGCATTAGCTCTTGTTTTACCATTAAACAAGAGAAAGTTACTTTGCGTTTGTTCATGAATCATGCTGTGTCTGCGGCAGCCTGCATGCCACTAAGAAAGATATGTGATTTTTTTAAAGCACAAAACTGTGTAAATATGTAGGTAGAGATAAACTTCTTGTATGGATTAAAAATAATGACAGCTAACACATTCATTCTTAGTTTTTGTGTCGGAAATATGTGCTGACACTTATGAATGTAAAAAAATTTAAAAATTGTCAGTTATTGCAAATGGTCATAGAAAAGAAAAGAAAAGCTGAAAAAGTCTGGTGCTGATTCAGTGTCACTGGAAAGCTAGAAATTATTCTTATAACCCAATTACGAGAATTCATCCCTGTTATTCGGTCAACTTACAAAACTTAAACTTAGCGTTGTAAGAAAAAGGAATTTCAGGAATGTAACAGATACTGTTTGTGTATTACATTGTAGATGTACTCTGGCACTAAAATCGATTTGTACTTTTTCACAGAGAGACTACAGGGTAATATTTATAAACTTCCAAGAAAATATGCGAATATTCAAGACTATATTAGACACATAAAGTTGTATTTGGAGGAATTAGTTCATAGCAAGTTGTGTGCTAGATGGATAAAGTTGCGAAATTACAGCTTTCTATTATATGCGCAGATACCATCTTTTCTCAGTATTTGCACTAATGTTGTGTCACTCAAGTTCCAAAAGTTCGATAGTTTTTGTAGTGCCGTTCTTTTTATATTGGTTTTTGTTCATTCACACTTGTCCAAAAATTTTTACAATTTAGCATTGCCGACTTCAGAGCATCTAATGAAATAACCAGACATATTACAAAGTACGTTCTTTTTTTAGTCTCAAGAGCAGAAATACGCGCATTAGGAGCATTAAATGATAATTACCTTAAATACAAGGATACACCTAAATCTGTAAGTTGAAAAGTACAAAAAATTATATCAGTCCAGACTGAGGGTGCTGACCCCCGTGACCCCGACATGACAAGGCGCTTGGCAGGGAACCCCCCGCTGCAACTAAAATTTCACTGCTGGTGTACCATGAGCAGTGACAAGCAAGTGATCCTTAAAAGCACAAAACTATTTTTTTAAATTTCCACAAACCAAATCTGTATAGTCTGAAAATGAACTTCTGTGCATACTTGGGTGTTAATCAAGATCCTGCCAACTAGTGCACAACAAGTAAGTGTTGGTGGAGTGTGTGACATGTTCTGCTCTTGACCACCATAAACTAGAACTCTACAATAGCCTATGAATTAACGACAAGACTCACTTGATGGAGAGATAGGCCACTTCGATGTTGACAGTGTCATTGAGAGCCAGGGCCAGGAGATTCAGTAAGGAAACCATGTGGGGCTTCATTTGCTCCGAGGCAATCGATGTAACAGTGGAAAGCACAAACATTCCAGTCTGAAACATTAGACCCAAATTTTTTTTAAAGAACAAGAGAAGAAATTGGGAGGTACTATTCCCTTTTAACAATCCATACTGCCAAAGGCAGCAAAACTATTAAATATTTGACATTGTCCAAACCCTAGTTATACAAAGCAGAAGACACTAGGAAAAAAAGTTCACATGTCTCATTTTCAATGGAAGTTGTCAACTAATATTCACAGAATTTTCAGATAAGAAAAAAAAAAGGGTGGGGGGGTTTGATACGGCACAAACCATATCTCCTGCTGAAATTGAATAGTGACTCAACTGTTTGTGCCTTATTTCAACTCATGAGATAATGTACCTATCAATCATTTGAATCATGCATATGTGCCTTCACAATACAAATAAAACAAAGTGAGAAGAAAACAACAAAGACTTTTAAATCTTGTTAAAGAGAATCATACATACGTAAACAGACATTCAGAGAATTGAAAAAAGGAACATGCCAGAAAGAAAAAAAGACCTTGCAATCATATCATCCTAGCATTCAAAATTGAAAAAATAAAATTAATTTTTCACATAGAACATACATACAAAAACACCCTCACCTCTCTTTTTGCTGGATCCTCATCCTTGATGTAACTGACCAAAAAGTCAAAGAGCGCTGGCCACTGATTGGTTGGGGTATCATGCCGTGCAATGACCCCAACAATCTGAGCTATGGCAGAGCGAGCACTTTTGCTGGGAGGGCAACAATGAAAAATACATTAGTCAAACGTTCATTGTAGTTACTGTACATAAAGAATGCAAACATCTAAAGAAAGAAAATTATGTCTCATCCCAACAATAACAAAAGCCTTAAGAGAAACAATTAATTCAATTTCTTTAATTCACAGTGAAAGCGTTCGCATTTTTACCTTTACAATTATAAGAGCAAATCTCAAGCTGACTTTTTAAAATAAAAAACCAAACAAAAAAAGGGTAAGGAGAAAATGGGAAGCTATGTGAGCCTGTTCTAAGTTTGAGCTATAGGAGGCACCCATGAACTATCAGCAATATTAGCAGTGGTCATCTCCAAAAAAAAAGGGTTTGTCTAACCAATTCTACAATGAGAAGTTTCCGACTAAGCAAGTTCACAATAAATCAACATAGGAAAAATCAGAATATAGAAAGCAATGAAAACATCCCGATAGGTCGTTCAACAATGAACAAACATTTATATAGTAAGTAATGGTGCACTTTGAAATCTAAAAAATTATAGAAACCTGAACCTTACATTATATTAACTTTATTTTCTATCTGTGATTCACATTGTCAACGCATACATTTTCAGGCTCATACACTCATACAGGAAGGTTTTAAAATTTGCTCACAAAAGATAAAGAGGAGACACCCCAACCTCCCCACCAAAAGAAAGAGAAGAAAAAAAATTACAACATTTATTATACTTACTTGTCCTCTTGCACAAGTAGCTGCAAAATATTTCCCCTGATACTGGAAAACAAAAAACAATGAACAAATGACCACTAAAGAAAACTAACAGACAAGTACAAAAATAACACTTGATCAATGTAAAGACAAATATTCAATTGGTCTCATATCTATATATATTATATTTGCGAAAGTTAGTCAATTTGGTCGCCTAAAATTTCATAATCTTTTAACTTTCAAATTTGAAAAAAATTAACAGTGGTTCGGAATAATTTAAAGGGTTCACAGTTATAATAAGGAGTCTGAAGTCACTGTAGTTAAATTTAGTTTTTTTAGTTTCGTTTCGATCTAATCTTGGGAAAGTCCATCTTCTAAGACGCCATTGTAAATAAGTGAGGCTTCCGTTCACAAGCAGCGCACCGACTCCACAATGACTTGAAGATAGATTCTTTTGAGTCCGTTCATCGAATGATAGAGGAAAAAAAAGTCTCCAAACAAATTTAAAACGTTAACAATGTTGACTTGTCCAACTTCAAATTGTAGAGATAGGCTATGCAAAAATAGGCATTCAAGGTGGTAGATCAATAACTAGTAAATTTCTCATAAATTAAAAAAAATAATTCTATTTGTAACCAAAAAAATGTATTGTGCTTGTTCAGTAGCTGTGGGGGAAATAAAAATGCAAACCTGTCTTTAATTGTATTGTCTAAAGCCGCCCATTGCTTGGACTTGTGAATCTTCCTCCGAATCAAAACTGCTGCATACTGTCGAATCTGGTTTAGGAAGACAAGAAATATAGAACAATGATCATTGAACATTAAATACTCAACAGTTTTTATTTAGCAAATCTAAATAAAACATAGCGATACAGCCATTACATCTCCATTTCTTTCAACTGAAACGCATAAAACTAGCAAACAAGAATTAATTCAAGGACAGATTGACATTTTGAATACTGCACCACTACAATCATGGTTCCAATATAGGACTTCTGTGAGTACAGAGACAGCAGCAGTCATTTTACATGTACTTGATTTATGCCTGTAAGGCTTCACAGATTATACAGCCCATCCAGACCTAGTTGTTGTCAGTGAACGTCCATGATCCGAGTATGATAGGTGGTGATTTATGATACAGGAAGCTTCCTCGGGGGTTTGCTTCTGCTGGCTCAGCTTGAGACGAGCAAAGGTCAAAATATTTGAAAATAAGTAGAGCTGGATTTGGAGTATACTGTACACATACCTGTGGCTGTGTAGAAGTGCCCAGAATGTGACACAAATTCTGTAAAGTTGCAGGATCTTTAAAAGCTTCCTTCAGCTCAAGAGTAGCCTGTACAAAAAAAAACAAAAAAACGTAAAAGCAACAGTATTGTGCCACCCCCCCCCCCCCCCCACTAACACCTGACCTGACATTCCTTAGTGTTGGTCCACTTGGCAGTCTACCATGTTTCTGTTCTACTTGACAGTCTACCACCAGACGTGTCTGACACCTGTTCCATTTGGCAGGAAAGGAAGGAGGGAGAGGGAGAGGGAGAAGGAGAGAGAGAGAGAGAGAGAGAGAGAGAGAGAGAGAGAGAGAGAGAGAGAGAGAGAGAGAGAGAGAGGGGGGGGGGGAAAAAAAAAGAGGGGGGGAGAGAGAGAGAAAGAGAGAGCACACTGTGACTATAGTCCAACAACCTTTCTATAAGCCAAGAGCATTAATCTAGACCAACGACATGTTTATATATGCGTCACAGATGCGTAGGCCTAAACATAGCCTTAAATATTTCAATTGCGTGCGGAGAGTCTGCAGTTGTGAGAGGGGACATGTCCAGTATTGTCACCTGTGAAAGCACGCTTCATCTTCAACAGAAATACAGTCAAACCTGTGTAAGAGAAAAGTGGCCGTATAAGACAGGTGGCCGTCTTAGGCAGGACTGATCAAGATAAAGGAAACAAACCATTCCCATCTGAGGCCCCAAT